TGTTAATTATTTGCATATGTATATGTAACACGGATATTTACCCTAACAGTAGATTCCCATACCTTTGATCGAAAAAAACTTTTAATATGCATCTTTACAGTTCTTAGTGAATATACATAAATGCAGCAATTAAAGTATTAATACTACTAACGTGCTATCGCTCTTTATTTTTGTATATGTATAGAATAATTAACAACTATATTGGTTTCTTGTATAATAAAACCTCGACCCACTTTTCTGCCGAACACTGAGTATGTATCTCCTTTGTGTACATCGAGCATATATTTCTTTAATCTTTTTTTAGAACAATGGCATTCTCTCCGTTCGAGAGATCTCGGTTACTAAAATATCGTATATATATATATTCGTGCATAGTTACTTTACAATAATTTTATCATTAAAAACAATCTGTTTTTTGTCAAATGTAGAAAGAAGAACACTCAAATATTACTCGAAATTAAACATTGTTACGAGTTATCCTATGATTTTTTAGTTATCATATATAGCAGACTAGTTGAAGCACTAATGTAGATATTAATTATAAAGTGAATATTTACTAGCTCGAGACACGAAATGATAAGCTAGAAAATGTAAAGTTTGCTTAAATTAACATTTTATGAAGACATCTCCGAAACTCTCTTTATTCGCGAAAAGATGTTCAGTAATAGAAGATCTCAAAGCGTGAAATTATTGTCGAAATATCGCGGCTCCCTATTTCTTCTACTGATGACTTTCGACGCAGAAAAATTTTTGACATGACACGACGAGAGTTTTTACGATGGAAATATGAAAATCGAGGATGCGCGGTCTCGTCGAGCAAATTGAACACTAATCCGTAGAATCGTCAGCCGGCTAGGTCAGCTGTAATCGCATGGAATAAATATCGCGCCAAGTGGAACGTGGCCATAGTGAAATAATGATACGGTTGTTACAAAAGTCAAGAGTTCTAGACTCAATCAGAAGTAGTAACACTTCTCTCGAACTTTCTCGAATGCGGATAGCTGAAGGCTGATGTTGTTCTTTTTCATCTCCTAATATTTAGACGTATTTGACGCTCGTCTACATCGGTTTAGACACTTTCTTGGCTTTAGACTTTAAGAGCAATGTCAAAGCAAATTATTTAATTTCACCGATGGTTTCAGTAGCTTGTATAATGCCGGTCAATAATTGAAATAGGTTCGTGTATCGTAATATTATCATTAAGCTTTATTAGATCTGTAAGAAAAATACTGGAGATACTGCGCAGGCAGAACTTGAAGGCCTTATATTAAATCATAATAAAACTTGAAAGTCTTATATCGAATAAATCATAACGGAATAAAAGTTCTTGCAATAACCGGATTGCTGGGGCATACAATATATCATCTGGCGCCACTCGTAATATCCGTGTTACTTAACAACATTGATCGTTAATTAAAACGCATGCGATCATGCTCCTTGAGCACTTTGCAAGTGCAAACATCTTCTCTCTTAACACGAGTACATGCTTGGACTGAACTGCTTTGGAAATGTTATTCCGCGCGGTATATGTCGGCCTGATCGATGTGCTCGCGATCAACCTTATAATTACCATCGTAAATCTTCCGTCATAATCTGCTCCTTTGTCTCGGAACGGGGAGAAGAGGAAAGAGAAAATATTCATGCCATAATCGAGAGAATTAGATCGCTCTCGGAGGATCTGCAGATAAAAGTCTTGAGAGAAGAGAAGTAAAATGATGAACATTGAAAACTGTAGTAAATCGTATAGAAGCGTGTTGAATTAAATTGTATGAAAGTCCGCAAACGCGGTTCAACTGGATCGCCGGTAATTGTTACAGCTCGAGACGCGCTTGGAACGCAATTTTACCGGCCGCAAAGTGATGGTTCTACTTTCGAAGTGACATATATATATGCGGCCTCCGCGAGGCACGATATAGGTCAACATCGTTCTTACACCTTCTTTTACTCTTGAACAGAGAGGAATTTTTCTCGCAATTTAATCGTAATAATCTTTTAATGAAAATTAAGATTTCTAGCGCGTGAAATGTTAAAATAAATATATAATATTTAAAAAAATCTTTGCATTTTTAACGTTCCAAATATTCTTACCATCGTATCCCGCTTATCGCACATTTCACTTTTTTTAATTCGTCAGAATTATAAAACTATATAGAACATAAATCACATAAATTAATAAAGTGTAGTAAATTTAAATAAGAATTTCAATTCAATTCTTCTTAGATTGTTAGAAGCGATTAAGAAAGTAGGTCCATTGCTTCTTCTACGAATTTGCTTTGATGTTGGTTGTAGAGAAATTAAGCTCGTAACACAATACACTTCGTACTCAGCTCATACTAAAGCTTCAAGATGGCATATTAATCTTAGCATACAGTCTCTATGAATGCCATCTTTACTTAATTATAAAGGGAGTTCCAAACACCGTTTTAGCTTTTACTTTGTCGATTTTATGTAGTCATCCAGCACAGGATGTATTAATTAAAATCCCTAATGATCGCTCGCCACATTTAAGACGAATCATATTATGTAAACGTGATTCCATTAATCGCCGATTTTCTTTACGTGATGTCGCGAGAAAGAAATTCTGTTCGAGGACGTGACCAAGAGATTTTATTGCTTCCTTGTAATCTATCGTTCAGTACGATTGCCTGTTCTTCGTATTTTTCACTTTGACGACCATATCGATTTCACGTAGGAATTCCAATCCGGCCATTTATTTCATTCAAGATTATCCTCAAGATCGGCGCGCTTAGAGTACCGGAAATTAATCACAAGTGAATTTATACGCGAAATAATTTCTCTTTCTTTGGCGAACACGACGATAAAAAATTATTGAGACCTTCGCTTTTCATGAAAGAATATACAAAAATATCGGTTTCTCTGTCATATTTTCTACATTTATTCTTTTATTATATTTCTTCGCACGGCTATCTCTCTTTACTCGCAGCATATTACACCGTAATTCTCCGATTTTATCGTTGTAAAATATTATAATATACTTCAGTATTTTTGTAACCAGTTCAGATTATATTGTAAACAAGTCTCATTTTGCGTATAACATAACATTGTAACAATTTCGCCGCTTCCTAATTAAATATATTAAATTGTTGAACCTTATCGCTGCTGATGACAAATCATAGAAAGATTTACTGAATAATGTACGGGCGCCGTTATTAGTACAATGTTATTGTACGCATACCAACAAGAGCAAAATTCGATGCAGTTAAGACTTCTCACAAAAGCCAGCTTATCGCTTATTGCTCCTTTCTCACAGACGTTCCATTAATTACGAAGTATTCACAGTTATCTATTAATTCTCATGAATACTAGTTAAGTTTTGTCAAGATATCTTCATTATTTTATCGCATTGCATGCGTTTCAACAACTCGAAACTTATGATATTTTCCAACAACACTCGATAATCTTCAAAATATATCTCTCACATATTTTTGATAGCCAAATATTTAAAATGTAAGAAAGTGGTTATTGCCTAAAGCATATACTTATTGTCTTAATATTGATAACATTATTATTATATATTATTTCTAATAGTATCACAATAAAGAAAATGATAAAAACTGTCAAAAATATTATTATTTTATTATAATGTGATTTATATGAAAATATAGCAGGCATTAAGTGTATTTTTCGACAACGAAAATAATAAGTTTATAATAGGATTACAGATAGAAATAAATGTCAATATAGAATGTTAATTCATTCAAATCGATATTCTTCGCATCGTTTAATATCGAGCGATATTATATTATTCTCATCATATGACATTCATTGTTTACTACCTTCGCTCTAAACTTTTTCTTTACTCTTTTAAAGATGACAATAAGTTGCCGCGAGACTATTACGCGTTTGCAACTACATGAAATTCATTCCTCAAGACAAGTGGTTTAATTAAATGTCAATCCGATATTTTCCGCATCGTTTGAAATCGGTCGACATCGCTTTGCATCTCGGGTTCTAACTCTAAAAGGCGTGCTTCAGATCGAGTGCGTTATATTTGTTTTTGCATTTTCCAAATCATCATACATCTTTTTATATCGCATGCATGTCACATCTCGCGATGCTTCCCCATTTTATCGTCGCGATAAACGCTACTTTTGATTTTATCTTTGACACGGAGAACATTAAATCTCGAAACGAGATACAATGGTCTGCCTGTGACAGCATCGCGATGCTTGCGCAAACAAATATTTTTTTTATGTAACGCGCAAGCTGTGCATACTATACATGGACACATGACGACGCATTCGCATGGAAATGAAACGAAAAGTCGTGCGAGATAGGTGATAAACAATTGTTCTATTAAAAGTTTATTACAACTACAGTTATAATAGTAATGGCGTTTGCGCTATTTATTTTAATCATTGTATAATTAATATTTCTCGTGTTAATTTTGGGAATAAAAATAAATATGCAAAAAATATGTTAAAAAATTTTTTATGAATATGCATGCTTCTAAAAATATTTTTTCGCGATAATTTTGAAGATAGGAAATTTGAACTTTTTTTTCTCTAAACAAATTTCGGTGGCCGATACATCGGAATTCGGTTATCGTCACTATTGTTCCATATTGTTCGAAGCTCCAACAATATTACATACAACATGCATACTTTATAAACACGAAACCTGTGCATTATGTAAGCTTGCAACGTGCAGCTGCGTTCTGAGGAAAGAACTGCACTTGGAAAAATATGTAATCGAGATAGCCCAAGTCACGAATTTCTCGTTATCTCAAAAACATTATTATAATTTCCTCGTTCGAAACTTTCCATATAATTCGTAGATTATAACTTGCAAATTTGTGACTGGCTTCTACGGCTTCACATACTTTTCTTGGTGTTGTCTGTGTACCAGTCAATGTGTTCAAGCTTTCGTAAGCACTGCATTATTGTTGAACTGTTTGTTACTAGTGTTATCACAAGCTAGTTAAGAAACATTATTGATTGTCGTTATTGTGATTGTAACTGAATGTTTCTTGCTTGCAGCACCAGAGCGCCGCTCAGGCATTGGTGAGTCGCATGTCTCTTTCTCTTCCTTCCTCTGTCTCCGGTATATTTTTTACATGCATATATTTTATACAACTTTCTACTTCTATCACCATTCTTATTTTAAATTGCTGAAATTATCATTAACCTTTCTCGGGAAATTTGAACTTTTTTTTCTCTAAACAAATTTCGGTGGCCGATACATCGGAATTCAGTTATCGTCACTATTGTTCCATATTGTTCGAAGCTCCAAATATTACATACAACATGCATACTTTATAAACACGAAACCTGTGCATTATGTAAGCTTGCAACGTGCAGCTGCGTTCTGAGGAAAGAACTGCACTTGGAAAAATATGTAATCGAGATAGCCCAAGTCACGAATTTCTCGTTATCTCAAAAACATTATTATAATTTCCTCGTTCGAAACTTTCCATATAATTCGTAGATTATAACTTGCAAATTTGTGACTGGCTTCTACGGCTTCACATACTTTTCTTGGTGTTGTCTGTGTACCAGTCAATGTGTTCAAGCTTTCGTAAGCACTGCATTATTGTTGAACTGTTTGTTACTAGTGTTATCACAAGCTAGTTAAGAAACATTATTGATTGTCGTTATTGTGATTGTAACTGAATGTTTCTTGCTTGCAGCACCAGAGCGCCGCTCAGGCATTGGTGAGTCGCATGTCTCTTTCTCTTCCTTCCTCTGTCTCCGGTATATTTTTTACATGCATATATTTTATACAACTTTCTACTTCTATCACCATTCTTATTTTAAATTGCTGAAATTATCATTAACCTTTCTCGTAGTATGTGCAGATTGAAACAGATAACTTTTAATAGTGGATATTAAATTTTCTTCGAAATAAAATAGAGAAAAAGTTAATGCTATGTGAGATTGCTTAAGAAATCTACGAGAAAAGGTTGATATGGATAAATATAATATTGTTGATACTCTCTCTAGTAAATCATAATCAGTTGCATCATGTTACATGTGTAGAGAACTGTATCACATTCTTATTCTTAAAACATGTCCTGTGTACAGCGTATATAATGTGATTTTTTTAAATCCTGAATGTTAAAATAAAACACATGGATACATTAACAATATAAAATTTAAACAAGATTTCTCACAAACATATGTATCCAAATATGATTAAATCATGTTGAAAAATTTTAACTATAGTTACTATTGTTCTCTAGTTTACAGCGTTAAACAACATTATATACTTTTACAACTAATATTATATTGTATCTTGCAAAGAGAATAGTGCTTTTGGGGATGATGAAAGGTAAGCTCCCAGCTGGATCAAGAAACCGAGAAGTTTGAAAACTGAACCTTTAAACTTTGCAAAAGTACAGTAACGATTTTTACGCGATACTCGTATACCAACTTTTAACAAATTCTATCAAAATCGAACGGAGCTTTCTAAATTCGTTCTTTGAAAACATTCTAAGCATCTGAAACTTGATTTATATCAATAACTTTTGCGATCCCATAATTTATTTTATATTAAATAACTCTTGTTATATTCCATTAGCAAGTTATGTAAATTCTCTGCTCATAACAGAATTACTTATAATTAATTGCTGATTAAAAGGCTTGCAATACTTTTCATCCCATCGATTAAATTTTTGATAGATTTGGCATTAAAACGGATATCGATTATAAAATTGATGATGTTTAATTAGAGACGAAAGTATACATATAATGGTATTTATAAATACACACATTTATATGCACACGCAAAAACATTTACCTGCTTAATCGATACAATATTTAATTTAGTACACTCGATTAACATCGAGCTAGAGAGATCGTGTAAATATTGTAGAACTTTCAAAAATAACTTGTCGCAAAATTTCAATGAACAGTCAGCGAAATTATTTTGTGTAATCGATGAAAGCTTACATCATTCGATCCGATACAAAACGGAACAACGGCTGGATGACGCGAATATCAGTTTGACTATCTACAGCTTCGATAACCTCGACTCACTGATATATCCTGCACTATATCAGTGCGAATTTTTGAAACGGTCCAGAATCCCGATACGTGAGGAATGCATCAGCCATAAAATGCAAGCGGCACTTGTTCTTGTGTGTACCATAACATCGATTCATTCGTTGTACACCACAGGATGCAACGGATCTTCCGTTGCTCTCCGTAGTACGAAATAATTTACTCCTGATGGAGACGGTGCGGAAAATCCAATCGCTTGGATAATTGAATTGTCGGACCGATCGGAGGGAATCTCCTGCAGTCTTTCGCGAGATTAATCTCCACTTTTTTTTGCTATCATGCAAGCATCATTATCTAAACAGTATCAACCGCACCTTGAAACAAAACTTCCGCAGAAGAATTTCCTTCTGAATCTATGAGCCAGAAAAACATTGTCAGAGAGGCAAGGCAGTTGTGCCTTGAATTTTTTAGTCTCTAGATCATATTAGGCCAACGTGCCCGAGTTTTTAGAATCAGATCACGCGTTGTTATTCATGGAAGCTTATTTAATAATTGAACACAAATCCTTCTCCACTTATTTTAGGAATTGAAAGTTGTTGAAGAACGTGACGACTGTGATCATGTGCAACAACTCGTCATGCCTTGTTTTAGCGATGCAATCACATTTATCGAACCTAATTCTATTAGATGTAATAGCGTTTTCTATATGTGACGACTGCAACGAATGTTTGCGATATTAGAAAGATTGTCCAATAACGTAAGAGGCGCAGAATAGAATTTGTTAGAGATTTGTTCGCGATTATTGTTCATTATCCAAGATACTGCTCGAGAAAGTTTGCGCGGAATGATTTTATACGAAGCGCAAACTGGGTCGGAGGTAAAAGTTGTGTAATTGCGACCCTATCGACTCGGCTGGAATAACCGATTCCAAGCGAAAGACTTCGGGACTCTGGCTAGTTTTGCACACTAAAGTAGCCGTAGTTGCCGTAAACTTCTTCCAATCGAAGCTTTCGAGTGGCTCTTCCCAATCGAAATAACAATTGCTGGTTATATATATTAGTGTGACATGTATCACCGGCATTTATTAATTTTGCATAATTGTAATCGAACGTTCTGATGTTAAAAGCGCCCTATATTAACATTTTTAGAATAGGATCTATTATCGTATTACGATACTCACTTGCTACAATAACGGCTTCTATTATGTAGGATCTGTTATTGTATTATAATATTATAAATTTAATATTATAATACTTCTTTCTATAGCCTTTCTTTTATCATTTTCTAATTAAAACACAGACACAGTATGTGATATACGATTTGCATGCTTCAAAAGTCAAAATGTTAATAAAGCTTATTACTGCATTGGTTTATTATTGCTTATTATATCTATTGTTAAATGCAGTATTTTTCTTTTATTTTTCTTTTTTGAACCCAAAAATATGACGGCTATTCAGAAATCAATCTCTGATAGGCTTGCAAAATAAAACAAGAAACAGGAAAAACATATTTTATTATACACAATAGAGTGGTCAAAAAACCACTGGAATTTCTGAAGCAGTGAAATGAGAGTTAATCCACCTACCCTACAGCCCGAACCATCGAGTAGCTTCAATCTGTTTACATGCATAAAAGTGTAGCTAAAAATACAGCGATTCGACGGCAACGAGGAACTGATGAGCAGTGCTAGGAATTGGCTGAGATTACAGTTTCGCGGCACCGTACTTTGATGAGAGTATACAAAAGCTTGTACCGCGCTACGACAAGTGCCTCAATTTGAATGGCGATTATATAGAAAAATAGTGTATATATGTAAGTAACTCTTGTGTATAATAAAATGTTTTTTCTGTTTCTTGTTTTTGCAAGCTTCTATCAGGGGTTAATTTTCAAATAGTCCTCCATATATATATATATGGAGTGACAGCGTGCTGATAATGTCCCACGCGGAAATTGATGTATCATGTGAATACTATAATTTGTTCGATCACAAAGCAATACCAATCACCACCCACTGCTCAAAACGTCGAATTTAACGCCCTCCACCCATTTAATTAAAGTTTAAAAGACCTTTCTACGCGCGCGCGTTTTGAACGTGCAAATTACATTACCACGCGCTATCAATATATTTGCCTATGTGCATTATTATTTCAAAATTACGCTGTCACACGCATACTTCTTTATATATGCGTCAATTTTGACGCAATTCACATTAATCTGAATTAAATTGCTAACAATCTATCGCATAGCAATTATATTCATTTTCCAATATGAATGTCAATTATTATTTTATATCTCTATACTTATCGAATGAATATTGGCAAGGGAAGCAAAAGTTGCTGGTTAGGAAAATATTTTGGTCAAATAAAAGACACACTGCTTGGGCGAGCGCTCGTTCATATTAAGCATGCAAATGAATACTTCAACCTTGCTGTCTAGGCCAATTTGAAGATTTAAAGGACTAACATAGTGTTTAATATGTTGCATGCAAGCAATCTCATTATTCACATATGTATTTATAATTTTATTAATCGCTTATCTTCTGACGCATTTCTTGATAGATTTTTGTTGAATGTTTTCATGGCAGTTAAATCTTCAATATTGTATAGATAAAATTATTTTTTATTTTAGCTAAGCAATGCATAAGTACATTAATAATAGAACTTGACACAATGAGACTCTTATACATATGTCTAAAATTAAGAAATTAATAAGGCAAAAAAAAATATATATATAGCCTTATTAATTTCTTAATTTGTAAGTTTATTTATTTATTTATTTACAAATTACGTGCATTTTAATATGCTGCAATACATTATACATTTTTACTTTTTAAAATAGAAAATCTAAGAAATTATATTCGTGCTTGTAATATGTCATATTGATATCTGTCATGTTCATACACGAAGCCTTGTTTCGTTTTCCGATGCGGATGGTTTAACAGAGATTTAATTTAACAAACAAGTCATGCGCGTTCCATCTCATTCTTGTAATATAAGATGTTTGATATTATCACAAAATGGAAATATAAGTTGCGTATAACAGTATTACATATTGCATTAAAT